AGTCAATTTTCTTACCAAAAACGTCTGGTTAGCATGGTGATAATCCTAGAGCAATGTGGTTATGGAAATAAAATTACTTTTGTTTTTACTACCTTTTGATTTTAGTGTTTTATAATGAAAAAAAGCCATTACAAATAAGCACACCTATTTATTTTTAGATGTATTTGTGTTGTGTGCAAAGCTTTTCCTTTTTTTTTTTTTTTTTAACTTGTTCTTTTTCCTGTTATTGTTTCTGTTCATTATATGTTAGGGATTTTATTGCTGTGAATGCACAAGTTTTAAGACTACTACTAAAAGGTTTCTGCTGTCCAGATGGTCCTTTTCTTTTGACATTAATTTTGTTCCCTTTGACCATCAAAAGTATAGAACTTGACCTTTTTGTGTTTATCCCCTTCAGGGCCATTCTAAGCGTGGTCACAATGACAAGGGATATGCCCAATAGCCCTGAAAGGGATAAGATATTGATCCAGGCGTGGACCTTATAATGTTAATCTGCTAGCTATATGTTGATTGTAACTCTTCAATTCAGTCAGCTGTAGATTAGAAAAAAAACATTGTTTTACTGTTTGACTTAACATAGAAATATTGTCTATATTGTTTTATAACCTGCATTAATGATTTAGGCTTTGTGAAAAGATTCTCCTCTTAATGTCCTGATTTGCTATCACAAATCCTGCTAATTCTTCACTGAAACATCCCCAAAACACACTCACCTGGATTCGGATTTAGTACATTTAAATGCCTATTAATTTAAAAGGCAGTTCTGCATGTTTTAATAGAATTTATAGCCATTTTAAAAAAATAGAATATTAAATAGTAACATATAAAGCTTTATAGAGAGTAGTGTTTTTTTTTTTTTCCTCCCTCTTCCCAGTAAGTGCCAATTAATAGAATAATCTAATTCCAACTGCAGTCTGATGCTTAGTGAACATAATTCTGACACTAAAACAGTTTTCACAGCTTAAGACTGTATTCAGCATTTCTTGATTGTGCAGTTAAACAATGAGTCACTCCTACATCAACAGTTTAACCTTAGCTGGGTCTGTTGATTTATGAAAAGAGCCCACTTGCCAAGTTGAGAAAACACCATGTTGAAATCACACCTAATTCTTTGTGTTTCTACAGTGCAGTCACCCACCTAAAACGCAACTAAAACGTTTTGATATTTAACCAATCGGCACAGCTTACTGGGTATGAGAGCACCTGCTATTCAAGTTTTCTGCAGTTTTCCAACAGTGTCGTTACCTAAACATAACCAGGGGGCAACTCCAAAAATGCATGGTGAAAACATAATTCGAGATGCAACGTGTAAACCATTAATAGGTCACTACATTATCATGTATTATGGAATTTGTCAAAGCATCATGGGTGTTTCAGTGCTGGACTGCAATCCTTTTGGCTACTTCTTTTTATAGAAAGATAAATTGAAAGCTTATCCATCTTTAAAAAGCTAGCTATTTCTGAATAGATCACTTCCACGTATTAAGGCAAACTAACCTCTTATTGATCATTTTGCATGTTTGTGCAATCACATATATTTCCCTTTTAGTAAAAAAAGGATTGCCGTAAGCTGCAGACTTCGAAAATAACTTGCTTTGGTCCATTACACTGACATCATTTTGTGTGCCTTTTATTCGGCATTTTTAAGATAATCAATGGTTCTTTATCTCTGTGTCCCAACTAATGTCCTTTACAAGATGTTAATGTGAATTGCGTACTAAGCAAGGCACTAATTAAGTGTTTGTGAATCCGGTCATCTTGAGCCAACAGCCTGTCGTGGAGTAATAAAAGGCTTGTCTGTGAGCCTGGGTGACAAAATGGACAGCAATAGGTTTTTACAAATGTAATTGTATGGACACAATGAAAATCTTGACACTCAGTGAAAAATTGGTTGTTTCTAGATAGCTGAGAATAAGGCAGCTGTTAGCTTTGCTGTAACTTTAGGCTTGCTGGTTGCCTCTCTGGTGACAATACTGTATGGAGTCAAAACCTTGGTGATGTCACCATGTGGGTGTGTTCCTTTTGTGAACTTGCCACTGTAGGCCTGCTTCATACCAACCACCCAGTCGCAGCTCTGCAGCAATCCCAGAGCTTTGTTTGTTGGAAATGTAATATCCTGCACATCATGTTCATTGTCCCTGTTTGGCAAGGATAAGCATTGCTTCAAGGATAGCATCCTTAACAAACTCAAGGATTTTTACTTTTAATATCTGTGTAAATGAATACAAGCTCACTAGCTGTGTCACATGACTGTTGAGTGAGCACTTACATGCCCAGCAGTTTGGAAAGCGAGCTGTGAAGTTAAAAGGCACTCCTCCCAGCAATATAGTGTGACCTTTTAAACACACTGCTGGTGCACAGAAAAAAAAGCACATTTCCATTTTTACAAAACAGGGTTTGCATTTTGATTTGGATCTTAAAGAACATAAAAGAAAACTTTAGGCAGCAAGTGTGCTTGGTCATTACTTGGCTGTAAAGGCAAATACATTTTTTTTTTTTTGTTGGTATTAAAGTCTGCTTGTGATGCACTTGGCCGAGTCATTGGGTGGTAGTAAATTACACAGGAATATATACCAGTGATGCTGTAACTGGAATGCACAGTCTAATAATGTATTCATCTTTAACATGTACAAAATGTAGATTCTTGATTGAACTTGTTTTGCTTTTATTTTATATTTTTATTCATGAAGTGTTATAATATTGCCTCATGTCTGTTACACACATTTTGTATTTGCATAATTGGTTAGGATAGCTTGAATGAAAATGACATGTTTCCAGTTGGTCTCATATTAGTGTTTTATGCTTTCCTCCTTTTATGTAGGTATTTTAGTTCATGTTTAAGACATCACACATCAGAGCAAATAAAGTACCATTTTAAACCTGCAAGGTGTTTGTCAGTCTATGTATGAGTGTGAATGTATGATAAAGATGAAGAATGTGTGACCTTTTGTGGTTACTTTTACTGTAAAACATGGTTTGTTAGATAAACCTCCATGCTCCCGTCTGACGTGGCGCATTCAGAGCAATGTACAGATTAAAGGACCACTATAGTGCCAGGAAAACATACTCGTTTTCCTGGCTCTATAGGGTCCTTGGGTCCCCCTCCCACCGGGGTCTAGGGGGAGGAAGAGGTTAATCCCTTACCTTTTTTCCAGTGCCGGACTCGCCTTCTTTCCCTTCATCGGCTGAATGCGCATACGTGGCATGAGCCGCGCGCGCATTCAGCCAGTCTCATAGGAAATCATTCTCAATGCTTTCCTATGGACCCTGGTGTCTTCTCACTGTGAAAATCACAGTGAGAAGCGCGGAAGCGCCTCTAGCAGCTGTCAATGAGACAGCCACTAGAGGCTGGATTAACCCATTTGAAAACATAGCAGTTTCTGTGAAACTGCTATGTTTACAGCAGGCAGCGTTAATCCTAGAGGGACCTGGCACCCAGACCACTTCATTAAGCTGAAGTGGTCTGGGTCCCTATAGTGGTCCTTTTAAGGGTTACTGCCGGAAGATGGCACCATAGGTATATGAGCAGTTTGTAGTACCAACCCCAGACTTGCTGTGTTGATAGATGGCACTATACATCATAATCTAGTAAATTAACCTCATTTAATGTTGATTTCCATAAGTCTAATTCCTGAGGTTTACCTAGGTGTTTAACTGGTCATGGTGCCTGGAGTATTTCGCTTCTACCCTGTCTTTTGCTCAGTCCATCCTACATGACCTCCCCTCCCCTCTGGAGAGGAGTGACATCAGGCCAGGGAGAACTTGGTCTTGTCGGGGGATTAGGGGTAATTTCTTAAAGGGACACTATAGTGTCAGAAAAACCGCTTGGTTTTCCTGACACTATAGTACCCTGAGGGTGCCCCCACCCTCAGGGTCCCCCTCCCGCGGCGCCCATTCAGCTACTCACCCTTTTCCCCCGCCGGGCTCCCTTACCTCTCCTCCCCCGCCGACGTCAGCATCCTTGTCTGACGTCAGCGGAATGCGCGGCAGTGCTGCACACACATTCAAAGTGTCCATAGGAAAGCATTTTTAATGCTTTCCTATGGACGATCTGCGTGATTGAGGCATAATATGCCTCAATCATTACCGATGCGCCTCTTGTGGCTATCCGGAAGACATCCAATAGAGGCTGGCTTAACCCCAGATGTAAACATAGCAGTTTCTCAGAAACTGCTATGTTTACATCAGGCAGGGTTAACCCTAGAGGGACCTGACACCCAGACCACTGCATTGAGCTGAAGTGGTCTGGGTGACTATAGTGTCCCTTTAATTTATGGTGTCAGGGTTAGAGGGGCAGACCAGCACAGACAGGATGACTACAACCAAAACCAATGTTAAGACCAATATGGTTAGATTACAGAAGTGAAAGGTATGCTTCTCTCCAACAGGCCATATAACAAAACTGGGGAACTAGAGGCAATAAGCCAGGGCTTTACAAAGAGCCTGCTTGACAGACTGTAGAAACTAGGTGTGCTCACTGGTTGCAGCAGGTGTGCTGCGCTCAAAAGGTAGGGCAACATGTGTGAGCAGAGTATGTCTTACGGGAAGGCAACTGTAAGGATATAGAGGGGTAAATTGAACCCTAGGAAAAATGCTGTAGTCTTTGCAAATTATGATTCAAAACTAGGCAAAGAAAATGAAGCATAACAAACTATGAAAACCTGCAGTTGGTATGGAAGGGTACAAAAGAGGGGGTATGACACACTGACGTTTAGCCCACTACTGTCATAGGATGGACAAGGTCCCAGCTAATAGGATTCCAAAGCCATGCCTCTGCATTACACCAGCCCCAGGCCTGAACAATGCCCATATCGCCAGTCTAATTAGTCCCAGTTGGGATTGTGACCTGACCTTGAGGCCCTGCAAGGGGTTACTTGTATTCATGGGTAGTGTGGGTCTTCCGAGGTAGTGAGTTGAGTCCAGGTAATTTTCCCGGCTGGGGCCGTGTTTCAGGGTGGCTGCTGAACATTGCTGGGCGGATTCTTCGGCGCCGAAGTGGTTTACGTGGCACCTGCTTCTTCCTTTTTGGTGACTGTGCTGCGCCATAGCATCGCCCAGGAGTCGCAGGTTGCCCTGTTGTAAGCGGCAAGGTTGGCTCCAGCAGGCTTGTGGCTAGTGTGGACCGAAAGGTTGCACAGAGTGTCTAGCTTCTCCAGCAGAGTCAGTTGCTTAGGACGAGGCACTGGGTTACAAGAATCATCCACCATCTTGGTCATGGCACGGGAGAGAGGGTGCAGGATAGTCCTCCTGGATAAGTGTTTGATAGCAGGTTAAGGGATCGGCTGCCTCCCTTTCGCGCACTGCTGTTAGGCCCCTTTTAGGCTGCAGTGTCTCCTCCGGGGTAACTCTCCGATCACAGTTAAGAACCCAACTGGTTTAAGAGCTAGGGATGTCTCCCGATACTGTGGTCTCGAGATGTATCATTTGAGTTGCAGATTTGCATTTATCGCTTAGTTAGGAGCCAGATTGCACGGAGCTCTCTGTGTATGCGACCAAAAAGCATGGCTGCCAGGCTCTGCCCCAACCCCCCCTTTTTTTTTTTTTTTAATGAACAATGCTTTATTTTCAATGACAAATATGCAACTTTTAAGGGACACTATAGTCACCAGACAAACTACAGCTAGATGTAGTTGTTCTGGTGCCTGCGGGCTTTTCAGTATAAACACTGCCTTTTCAGACACTCGCTAACAGCTGATTCCTAGGATTTGTCAAAGCCCTGCACTAAGCAATATGAGAATAGGCGTAACGGAAACATGGTATGCAACTCGTGACTGGGCAGATAACTTAAAGGAAACAAACTTGTATTCCTGACCCTATAGATCTAAATAGCTGTTAAGGTGACTGGCACCCTTACTTAAACCAGTCCTCAAGGCCCACAAACAATCCAGGATTTATGTTTCCCTGTTTTATTCCAATGGAGATGCTGATATTAAGCCTTGAGAACTTGTTTGGTAAACACTGTCCTATAAACTACCCAATACTATACCCATAAAGGATGCTTGTCTTGATCTAGTTATAACCAACAACGTTGATCTTCTGTCAAAACATTCAAATGAGGGAGCACTTGTGAAATAGCAATCACAATATGGTGTCTTTTTTTTTAAAATAAACTCAAAAAACAAATGGGAAGGACAGATTATACAAAGCGTTCATATATCTGTCAAAACATACAGCATGCATTACTGACCTGTATGGATGTCAAGTCAACTTCTCTAAAAAAGAAATCAGTAGATTAATTTCTAGAACCTCTTCCATTACATCTGACCAGACAGAGGAGGGTACTCAAGAGGCAGCTGTTCAACAACCCAATGCTATTCAATTACTTTGGATAGCCTGGATAACTTCTACAATGTCTTGGAGAAAATATCAAAGAACAATCTTAATATAATAGATATCATATAGTCACTATGTAATATCTTGATTTAGCCTGGAATCCATTGAATGTCTACATAAGGACAACATGATATCAAACCTAAATCGCACAAGAAAACATTATCTCATGGTTATCCATTAAATTGAATGCAAGGGGAACTCCAAACTCTGCATCAATATAGCCAAACCGGAAGCATAAATTCACTCTGATTTCAACCTGTATCTGTACCTGTATTTATTCCTAATATACATCTGGCACCTAAATAGAGCAGATATTTCAGAGAGATAATTCAATGGAAAATAAATCTGAGCCCTTCTTACTAAAAATATAAAAGATTGGCACTCAAGTACTTGCCTCAAAGCACTTTATTTAATTCACATCTTAATTGTTTGAGACCAAATAACCGCACAGGCTGATGTATTGTAATGAAAAAGCACAGTCCGGGTTCAACCCCAATGTTCACAGGCAGATACCAAGATTTGCAAAATCTGGGTACAAAGAGAAAAAAAAAAAGAAACAACTATTTGCCACCTTGGAATCTGAGATGGATGAGTTAATCAAGGAGAATCATGATAAAGCAGAAATTCAAAAAAAAAAAAAGTCTTCAGTCTATAGGGAAGAAGTCTATGGGTGTAGATTTGCAACTCCCTCTTACAAAAGCATTACAGCAAACCGGAACACAGGATGAAATGCTACAGCAATTAAAAGAAAAGTGAAGAAAGCCCCAGCGCCAGATGTTATTTATTCACGCATGCTTGGGAAGCTTAGTGTAGAAATATACATAGCACTATTTGTAATTTGTTCTTTTCAGGAATTGTAATTGGAAAAAAGCAGGTGTGATGCCTCTACTTAACCCCTTAAGGACCAAACTTCTGGAATAAAAGGGAATCATGACATGTCCCACCTGTCATGTGTCCTTAAGGGGTTAAAAAGGGGTTCAAGCGGTCAACCTGGAATCTACAGACCTGTGAGCTTAACATCTGTGGTTGGGAAATTATTTGAAGGACGGTTAAGGGATAATCAAGAATTGTGTAGAGACAACCAGTTTTATAGATTTGATTTTGGAGATGACCAAATCTAAATGATGGAATCCATTCTCTGAGCAGATTAAATTGTAAATCTGGGTCAATTGGCCTCAAAATTTGTTGAGGATAATAACCACAGAATCCTCATGGATTGTGTGAACGAGCAGGTATTTATTTATTTTTTCCTGGCAAAATGTTCGAATTTCTGTCTATATCTTTTGTTGTTTTTCTAAAGGGATACGTTTTAAATGTTTTGTGTCTGTTATGGTTCCTAAGAAAATAATTTTCTGAGTAGTTAAGAAATAGGATTTTTATCTGTTTATGACCCAGTCATGATTTTCTAAAAATTAAGCAGATTCTGATGGCTTTTTAAAGCTGAATTTGCTACAAGGAGCCAATAATCCAGGCAAGTGACAATATGAATTCCTCTTACTGTCAAAGCTGATGTAAGGACTACTAGAATTGTTGTGAATATTCTTGGTGACGAAGAAAGACCGAAGGGCAGTGCTGTGAGTTGGAAATACAACAATCATTTTTTATTGCATATCTTAAAGGACCACTCTAGGCACCCAGACCACTTCAGCTTAATGAAGTGGTCTGGGTGCCTGGTCCCTCTAGGATTAACCCCTTTTTTTTTTATAAACCTAGCAGTTTCAGAGAAACTGCTATGTTTATACTGAGGGTTAATCCAGCCTCCAGAGCCTCTAGTGGCTGTCTCATTGACAGCCACTAGAGGCGCTTGCGTGCTTCTCACTGTGAAAATCACGGTGAGAGCACGCAAGCGTCCATAGGAAAGCATTGTAAATGCTTTCCTATGCGACCGGCTGAATGCGCGCACGGCTCCTGCCGCGCACGCGCATTCAGCCGATAACGTCGCGAGCAAGGAGGAGAGGAGGAGTACAGCTCCCCGCCCGGCGCTGGAGAAAGGTAAGTGTTTAACCCCTTCCTCTCTCCAGAGCCGGGCGGGAGGGGGTCCCTGAGGGTGGGGGCACCCTCCGGGCACTATAGTGCCAGGAAAACGAGTATGTTTTCCTGGCACTATAGTGGTCCTTTAATCTTTGAATGATAATGGAGATTGGAATATACATATAGGTCTAGGAAATCTCCTTTTTTGATCATTTGTCTTGCTGACATAATTGTCTCAATTCTGACTTTCTTTAACTTGTTCACTTGCTTAACCCCTTAAGGACACATGACGTGTGTGACGTCATGATTCCCTTTTATTCCAGAAGTTTGGTCCTTAAGGGGTTAAAGTCCAAAATTGACCAGAATCTTTCATTAGGTTTCTTCATTAGCAAAAGTCTGGAGTAATGACCTTTCAATCTTTCTTAAACTGGGATCCCTTCTACGACTGCTCTTTCTCTTAGTTGCATGACTGTACAGAAAAGGTTTGTTCTAGTTCTTGCAAACAGACTTCTGAATATAAGAAAGGTTGTGAAGGCATGACATTGAATTATATTTCGTAGCGATATTGAATTCTATTTTGTAGGCTGAGTGAATAATTGTCAAGGCCCAGGGTTCTGAGGTATCTTTTTTTCCAGAAACTGAGAAATAGAATAGTCTGCCTCCTACAGGTGTGGTGTCAGAATTTATCCTGTGTGTTTGAGTAGGGTTTTTTCTTGTCTTTGTTATTTTCTCAGAAATTCTGACGTGTGCTGTTTTGGGTTTCTATAGTGTTTTTTTTTTTTTTTGGTTTTTTTTTCACTTGCAGTAGGGCCTTCTTTTCCTTCTGCCATGAATTCTAAAAGCTCATCTAAAGACGAACCAAAAAAAGACATCGTCCTTCAAAAGGAAGATCAAGTCTGCTGACCAGGGACACAGCCAGGCAGCATGTCCCCTATTGTAGCCAATCCCATTGAGCTTGCTGCCCATCTAACACTTTCTGTTGTAGAATTAGAGAAATTCTGATGCCAACTTAAAGCGGCACTGTCATGCCGAACTTACCTTTCCTCAAGCTCTTCCTCTTCTCCTCCTCTCTCAGGATCTGTTCTTCTTTTCTTCCAGTTTTCTTTAAAATCATAAGACAATGTAGGGACTCTTTGCCTTATGGAGGTTTCCTCCGCTTGACCAGCGGAGGAGCAAAGTGTGCTTCATTTCCGCTGGTCAGAGCAATTTTCCCATAATTCTTACCTTTCCTCTGTGATCTCATTTTAGACAAAACTGCCAAATTGCATTCTAACTGAATGAGAACAGTGTTCGTTTCTTTTAGAACTCAATTCGGCACTTTGTTCGTATCGGAATTTAATTCGAATGAATGAAACTCTGATTCAATTTGTGCCGCGGCTGCATTTTGCAGCTGCTTAGTAGATAACTCCCTAATTCCCACTGTATTAGGGAGTTATCTTCCAAAAGGCTTAAAGACCTAATTTGGTCTTTCAGCCACATTTACTAATACTAAGTAAAGATTACTTAGTATTAGTAAATGATCTGCCCCTACTCGCTATACCGCGAGTAGGGGCATGTCTAGTAAGCAGTGAGCAGCCAGTGGCTGCTCACTGTAAAAAAACAAAACAAAAAAAAACTATTGGCCCCATCCCTGAGCGGTGGGTGGGGGCCATAATGGACAATCGGGGGGGGGGGACGGACACCTCCTGTCCTCCCCCGGCCCTCACCCCTGTGCGGTGGGTGGGGGCCATAAATTACAATGGGGGGGGGGACCTACTGTCCTCCCCCCCCCCGGCCCCCACCATTGAGCAGTGGGTGGGGTCCATAAAGATAATGAGGGGGGGACCTACTGTCCTCCCCCCAGGCCCCCACCCCTGGGCGCCGGGTGGGGGCCCTAAGGCAAACTAGGGGTCCCCTAGTCACCCACCCCCCA